ATATATATATATATATAAAGAGAGAGAGAGAGAGAGCGAGACATATTATAATAATATTATGAAATAAACTAAAAAAAATTTTCAAATAGTGTTCGCTATGAGTTAACATCAAGACGAAAAATAATCTATCGACAAAAGTACTTATTAAAGTGATGTGCAAAAACAAAAAAAATAAAGACAACTTGTTACTCCTTCAGAAATCAAATTCAACATTCCTCCAGCTACAAAGGTTTTTGACAAAATCACCTAGCCAACTAAGGGAATATCAAGACCCAAAGTCAGCAAGGAATTTTGCCAAGAATATGACTTCTACCTTTAGGATAAAATTTTAATGAAGTTCCTAAAACTTATTCTGCAAGTTATTTGAATAAAATGTTTTCGCTTTCAATGTGTTCTTTTAGTGAATTAGCTTTAGCTGCTATTAAGCTGCGTCCAAAAACTCCACTGAATAGTGAAGCAGTAGATAAGAAAATGACGCCAACTTCCCTTTTCAAGTGTGCTCTCAAGAGTTGTATACAACTACTTCTAGTACTCCTAGAAGTAGCACAAGTTACCCTCCTAAAGAAAATTGAGGTGTTATTTCTTTCAATTGGCATCATGAGTACTTCCATTGTGAAGTATGAGTTGGATAAAAAAGAAGTTTTGGAAGAAATGTCCAGATTGAAGAGCATTATTGCTAGGATTACTAAGGCCCCCTATACTCGCGGCTAGCATCATTCAAGTAGTCGCCAACTAGAAATATATAGTCAACTAAGTCAAATCAAATCATAGCTGGTGGTAATTTAGTTTTAAGGCGGTCCATGGCGAGTGAGAAAATCTATTGAATTCGCCTCAAATCTTTGATTAAAATATTTGAACTTTCATTAAAGATTAATATTTGCCTAATAAGGCTTACTCAAACTAACTTATATTCCAAAGAGAATATTAAGAAAAATATTTAATGTTTAAATTTTACCATATTATTCTTGATGATTTCTTCTTGAGAAATTCATTTTGAGGAATCATTGAATTCCTTATATAGAATTCCATTTGATGAATTTGACTTTTTCAATTCTTGTGTGAATTCCTTTTGACAAATTCCTAGAAGTGCAAATGTAATAAATATTTATCAAATTAATAGTTATATATATATATATTGAGAAAGCCTAAGGGCTAATATATTAAAAAGAAAGAAAGATATAGATAGATTGTATGAGAGGGCCCAGACATGGTACCCTACCCACACAGTAAACACCACATGCAAATAGTTCCAGAAAAAAAAAAAAATACAGAAAAATACATGAGAGTCCAAAAATCAAAAGTGTCAAAACACGTAGCATCAGGTAGCTAGAGAGCGACCCAGTTTTGTCTTGTCTCTGCCACTAATTCTCTGTCTCTAGTTCTAGGAAAGAAGTCAACTAACAAATTGGTAATCTGAGTGTCATTGCCAGAAGTAAACAATGTATTGTCCAATAAGTTCCTGAGCTCGAGTTAGCCTTCATTCTTCTTCTTCCTCCTGGAATAGACCTGTCATTCCTCATCCGAAGACAGACTCATCCGATCAGTGAATTGGTCTAAAGTCTGTTGGACATGTGTCGCGTGTTGATCATTGGAAACATCTACTCGTTGTAGCAACTGATCTTTTATTGGATCAAAAAACCACTCTCATGTGTCTTGGCATGTAATTGAGTCTTCTTCAATAACAGTGAGTGGTATATACACATTTGGATCAGTACTAGTAGTATGTGAAGATGTTTCATATATATATATATATATATATTGAATCATAAATTGTCCTTTGTGAATTATGCTCCAAGAGTTGGAAACGGACGGAGGAGGTAGAGAGAGTATGATATGCCCAGAATTCACTGTCGAGAGAAAAAATTGGGAGAGGTCCATTTATTTGTATTTTTGTCTCCTCCTTATAGAGACGTATTTTGTACAATTACAAAAAGAAGTGAACAGTTATGAAAACTGCTCTTAATTCATTTGATGTTTGAGTCAATCGTATAAAATTCATACTATATTTGTATTACAATTTAAATTATAATATGAAGGAAATTGTCTCGCCGATTTGCATGAATTCCGTCGATCGAGGCGACCGGCTGAGTGGTGATTTTCCCTTGTGTAGGTCGATCGAGGCATCCGGCTGAGTGGCGATCTCGTCCGCCTCGATAAAAGTGGGGCATATTGGTCATGATCAAAGGTTCTCACCTGCGCTCTGGTCAGTCGGAACTACAGTTGTGTTTTGTCATTTGAATTTTTCACCATAGTTGTGTCGTTTGATTCTTGATCATGAAGTAGGTTGAATAACGATAGGACGCCTTGAACGTCTGATCATCGTCTAGGCCGTTCAAATGCTTTGAGATCCATGCTGATAGCTTTGGTGTATACATATTAGTTCCCCGAGTTTTCCTATTCCTTGAAAGTAACAGTTACGATAAAAACAGAGAAATTATTAGCATTCATTGGTACTAAATTTGAGAAAATTGATTTAATAATTATCCTTCCCTTAGATTTTGTGTCCAGCATGCTCTATAAATTGGGTCACATGCTTGACATTGCATTTGTTGTTGTTATTCTTCTTTGTATAACTAAATTGCATCATATCGGACGATTTGAGAGAGCTTTTCGTGGACCCAAAGAAAAGCTCAATTAGCCATCCTTCTTAGATGATAAACTGAGAATTGAAATTGTAGACTGATACACCAAAATAATATATTGTTTTAAGTACATATTTTATGCTTATTTTTTGTTATTGCAATTTAAAGAAGTTTTTTTGTGATATTGCAATTTAAAGAAGTGTATTTTCATGTTTTTGTTACAGGTATATCATTTTTAGGCATTTGGAGTAAAAATGACAAAAAAGACAAAATTTAGAGCAAAAACAACGAATTTTGGGATGCTGGCGCATGATGCGCGGTTTGACAGAGAACTGGCGCATGATGCGTCAGAGACGACTTTTGTAAATTAAGGCGATTCAAGATGAATTTTGGGCGAATTTTCAAATGGACGCTTGTTCTACACATCTATTGGAGTAATTCAATGCATCTAGACACTTTGAAATGTTCTTTTATGAAAGGATATGTCTCTTGGATCAAAAGACATCTTTTAAATTCAAAAGAGTTGACTTTTAGAGAAAAATTTTGGAGGAAATTTGAAATTCTTTTCAAAGGAGGCAGCTCAAAAATAAAAGAGAATACTTCAAAATAGAGTAGAGAGGGACGAGAAAGGGAGAGAGAGAGAAAGTTGGCGTGAGAGACAAGAGGAGATTTTCTTCTAGGGTTGTAAGAGGAGAGAAAAGGTGAGAGATTATTTCTTCATTACACTTCTAAGAGAGAATTAAATGAGATTGTAAAGAGAGAAAGACTTAGAGAGAACTTCTAGGAATTTGTTTGGGAAGGATTGTTAGATAAGTTATGTCTTTTATTTCTGTTGTTTTGTAAAATTATTTTTATATATAAAATTCATGTTTTGTCGTATATTTCTCATGAATTCTGAGTAATTTTCTTTATCTTTCTCCTTATTTTGAGATATGATTTTGTGAAAAATATATTTTATTTTCTACGGTTTTAAATGTTAATAATTTGTGATGATTTGAACTCCGATCTTTATTTACTTTTCCATATGGCCAATTAAAATGTTAAAACTTATTGAGAAACATATGTTCTGAAAAGGGATATGATTTCTACAGCATAGGGAGAGTCACATTTGATCTCATGGGAGAGTATGTCATCCATGAGATTGAATGCAGATAAATAGGGAAATATACTTTGTTGGATGCAGAATTAGAGATTTTAAGGTGACAGATTAAAATCCTCAATTTGGTCCAGTTGATTAGAAACTAATGTGAGATTGTTAGCCCTAAGGTGAGGAAGTAGTAAGAGCTCTGGAATGGCAGTCGGTATCCTCCTAGCCTAACCACGAAATTAGAGATGGAGACAATCTCTCCCGCATGCAATCATCTTGACAATCTCTACTCGCATTCACCCTTCAAAAACAAAGTTAGCAGTTTTATAAATTTTTTTTCTAACCCCATACTCCACAAGGCAATCTCTCTAATCCCTAGAAAATTGTTAGAAACTTTCCCTAAAATGTTACTTATCATTCTTCTTGCGTGTAAATGAACTCAGTACAATTTTGCACTCACATGACTATTGACAAGTTCAATCCAAGTCTTTCACCTCTAAAACCTCCTTTTGGAAGTGAGTAATAAAATTATTAGTCTCACTGAGTCCTTGTCGCATTCACATTATAGCCAATGAATTCTACGATAGTTTCGAGGCACTGGCAAATAGGTCACAAATATTCTTTCAAATTTAATGAATGAAATAATCACTCCTAGTGAGAAGCGAGTGAACAACAAAAGAACGGACTTTTTAAGTTTGCTCTCTTTCAAACTTTTTAATATTGAACACCTAGTAACAAGTACCTATTCTTCACTTGATTGTACTAAGTCGTTCGTATGGTGGGTATAGTGGTTGTACTGATTTGACTTGGTCAAACCATTAGCCAACTCGAATTGACTTATAAAATATGCTAATTTGAATTCAGTCCTCCATATATGTGGCATGAATACTATCTTGAATTCTAACATTAGGGCATTCTGCAATACACCTAAAATTTAATTGTATCAAAAGAGGCTCATTGAGATTGATACATAAAAAGTTTATTTACGATTAAAATGCAGGAAATAGAAGGGGATATTTATCTTTATTTCAGCATACATCTTTATCATTTTATTTTAGTAAGCAAGAAAGGCTTGCTTTTGCATTCTAGTTTATGTTTAAACAAACAAGAAAAGGATAAAAATTTTGTAGTCTCGCTATTCATACATTCATGTGAATCCCAAATTTGTTATACAAATAGATCCACCATACCAGAATCAATGATGCAATGGAAACCATTAATCTTGAATCTTAAAAATAATTATTATCATTTTCCATTCTGCTAAAATTACCAAAGTATATATCCAGTTCATAATTCACTTATTTAGCTCTCAAGTTTCAAACTTTTTTTTTTCCTTAAATTGCATTAACTTTTATCAGACAACTTTCCTTTTAACCAATAGAAACTACATTGCCCTTAAGTACAAAAAGCATGATAAAAATCAAAAATATCAATTTGACCGCTATATACAACAGAACAAGCTAGCGCCATCATTAGTTCTTCCGGGACAGCATAATTACTTCCCTGCCTAGCAGCAATTGTAATCCTTTTGATATAAAATTTCAGGAGAAGTAAAATTTACCTTCCTAGGAAGATAAGACCGTTCAACATGAAGCACTGCCCGGTTCGGATTGCGAGGGCCTTCGAACTGAATCAATTAGAGAGAAATATTAAAAACTGATGGGCACAGAAGGGACATCGATGGTATAATCGCTGAAATATTTAGAATCAATTAGTTGAAAAAAAAACGAGAACAGGCCTGAAGCAGAAGATGAAGACACGGTGGAGGGAGCAAGCTTCCCTGAAGCCGGCGAGCCAGAGGATCGCCGACTGTCTCGCGTTCAGCGAGAAGGCATCCATCCGAGAGAAGAGGAAGCCAGAAAAGAAATTTCGGAAATCGCTCCGCTCCTGCAGTTTGCTCTCCGACTTGATCTTGAAACAAAAGCTAGGAACATTTGCTTCTAAGCTAAAGCGAAGGAATCAAAAGCTCCAGATATCCGGCCATCTCTACTGTTTTTCCGCGAAAATATAATTATTTTCCTTCCCGAGATTTTATTTCTTCTCAAAATGATTCCTTTTTATTTGTTTCTATTTTAAAACTCATATTCGATTTCTATTTTGGTAGCTTAAACTTCGATTGTTCCTTAATTTCAATTTTAAAATTAGATTTTTATTTATTTCGCCATTATTTTTTTTAAAGTAAGATTATTGTGATATTTGGGTGTTATTGAGGTGGTATTGTGTTTCAATACCACCCCAATACTATCAATATCACCTTAATAGCACGCCAATACCCCACACATGCATCTGTCACTTCCGCACACAATATTTGCTTCGAAACAGGGTGAGCATTCGGTTGGTGCAAATTTATAATTTGTAAATTGGGCAAATTGGTCAAATCCATTACAATTGAAATTCAAAATCCTAAAAATTGAATTAATTAAAAATTTAATAAAATCTTACCAATTGAATTAAAGAGTTAAACCCAAAATTGTCTGTGAAATCAAGTCCACATGAGATTGAGAGAAGATGACCGCGTGAGATTGAGAGAAGATGAAAGACAAAGAGGAGGTGAACAGTGAAAATAGTGTCTAAAATATTTTTAAAGACAAAGAGGAGGTGAACAGTGAAAATAGTGTCAAATAAGCAAGTCCTAGAAAGAGGTCCCAACACACACACCTTACAAATACACAAAGAAAGTAAAAAGGATCTCTCTCCAAAAAAGAAAAATACAACTCACACACCACAAAGAAAGTAAAAAGGACCTCTCTCCAAAAAAGAAAAAATACAACTCACAAAAACGAATCAAAGAAAAACCAAAACAGAAAACAACATAACTAAGAGCAATCAAATAGCCACCAAACTATTCAACATCATTTAAGGCTAAAAGCATCAGATTACAAGGAATAATCTTCGAGACTGTAGCACCCCACATCTTCAAACCCCATTTAGCCGCCGAGTGAGCAGCCTTATTGCCTTCTCGCTTGGTATGAGACCAAAGATTAAATAAGTTCTTGGAAAGAGCAAAAATCCTTTTCATCTGAATATTAATACTCCAATGATAATCTTGCTGCAATTGACAAAACTTCCAAAGAATCAAAGAATCAGTTTTCATAATAATAAATTTCCAACCATAATTGATAGTCATCTGCAAACCATAGATAAAAGCATCAGCTTTAGCAGCCAAAAGGGAATCAGAAAACACACCTGTCGAGAACTAATAAAGAATAAAACCTAAATGTTCTCGACAAACTCCTCCTACACTAGCAGATAAGGGATTCCAACAACCATCAATGTTAATCTTAATAAATGACATCCACGGTCTATGCCATTTAATATTATCATTAAATTTAATATGCACATAACTAGGAATATCCAGAAGATGTCTCAAATGTTTCAAATTTTCAAAAAGTATAGTGTTATTGGGCAAAAACTTTAATCCTTTATATAAATAATTCAATAACAAACTAACAGTTCTATGCACCTTAGGAACAATATTATTGAATTTATGATCATTTCTAGCAATCCATATAAACCAACTTATAATAACAGATATAGCCGAAAAATGCCTTTATCAAGCAGCTTCCAAGCATCGAAAATCTCAAAAATGCTATTATATTGTATCAAATTTATGTTAAATCTGTTTAACTGCAACTTATGTATAATATCATTCCAAACATCAATAGTAAAATAACATTTAAGAAAAAGATGTTCAATTGATTCCACATTATCATGACACAAAACACAACAAGAAGGCAATCTTAAACCTTTCATCTTAAGAATATCATCACTAGGAATGATATTATGAAAAACTTTCCAAATAAAAAAGGAGATGGAAGGTTTAATCCAAATATTCCAATTCCATTTAAGATTTAAACCTTGCAAAAATTGAAAGGAGTTAGCAAAACATTTAGCATAAGAATCACTCAATTTGCCTTTAATTTTAGGCACATGAGGCTTAGTAATATCAAAAGGAATAGAAGCAATAAAATTAGCATCATCATGATTAACCTTTTACAAAAGTTTTTTAAAACACCACTGATTTTCAAACCAAAGGTCATTAATCTTGATATTAATATTCTCAGAGCCACCGTGAAAGTCAGCAAGAGCACCTTTGCCCAACCAATCATCATACCAAAATGAGCAATCACCTTTAACAATGTCCCAAAAAATCATATCTTCAGTTTTTCTAGCAACCTTGAGCATTTCACACCAAATAAAAGAATCACTTTTGTAATAGGTAATAGTCATAGGATTCCTGTTAAAGCAATACTTGACATGCATCAAAGAAACCCAAATGGAATTATTCTGATGAAAGCGATACCATAATTCATATAATTAATTTTAATAGAATCATTTAAGCTTCTAAAGCCAAGTCCTCCATTTTCTGTAGGTTTACGAAGCTTATTCCAGCTTTTCTAGTGAAATTTGGAATGACCTTTACCTTTCCACAAAAATTTATTAAAAAGATTTTCAATCCTCTTAATAACATTCAAAGGCATATTCATAACTTGAAGAGTATAAAGAGGTAGAGAAGTAAGAGCACTTTTAAGAAGAGTCACCTGCCACCAAAAGAAAGAAATTTATTTTCCCAGGATAATAAATTATTTTTAATTTTGTCAAACAAACTGAAAAATAAAACACTCTTCTTCTTACCTTTATCCAAATGAAAACCCAGACAAGTTAAAGGTAAATAAGCTTTATTACAAGCAGTAAAATCCATAATCCAATTCCTTTTAGGAACATTAATATTTTTTGAATAGTAGATAGCACATTTAGAAATATTAAAGAATAAATCAGAGATAGTCTAGAAATTTAAAATCTCAGTCCAAATCCTTTTAATGGAAGTTTTATTAGCATTTGTATAGAGAATCAAGTCATTAGCAAAACTCAAATAAGATATACTTAAATTGCCTTTATGCTTATAATTCAAACTAGGATAGGAAGTAAATAAATCATTCAAGCAACGAGATAAATAATCAATTGCAATAATGAATAGATAAGGCAAAAGAGGCTCCCTGTTTGATACCTTTAGAAGCTTTGAAAAAGCCTTGCTTGGCCCCATTAATAAGAAGAGAGTAATAATTATCATTGAGAATTCTATAAATAAGCTTGCAAAAAGCATTATTAAAATTAATAGCTTTAAGAATATCAATAATAAATTCCCATCTAATAGTGTCAAAAGCTTTTTTAATGTCTTTTTTGAAGATAACATTCCCACCTCTGCTTTTCTTATCAATATCCAAGAAAAGTTCTTGGACAATAAGAGCATTATCACAAATACTCCTAACTTGCATGAAAACAGATTGATTCATGCTAATAATATCATTAAAAATATGTTGCAAACTTTTAACCACAAATTTAGAAACAATTTTAGACATAACCGTGTTCAAACTAATAGGTCTAAAAGCATCCCAATTATTTGCATCACGCACCTTAAGAATCAACACAATATTAGAGCTTTTAAAGTATTTCGATAAATCTGTAACTCTAAAAAAGTCTTGAATAACTTCAGCAACATCAGTATGAATGATGTCCCGCCCATATTTATAGAACTCAGTGGTAAAACCATCCAGACCAACAACTTTCCCCATATCCATAAGATCAATACTATCTTTAATTTTTGCACTACTAGGTATACTAGTAAGCAAAGCATTATTAAAGTTAACATTTCTATTTGTTGACCTCATTTTTGGTTGAGGTTTACTTTTTCCCCTTTAGTAGCTTAAGGTCTAGCCATAGGACTTTCATATTGACTATTCTTATAAAACTAGACAAGGAGCCCTCACCATTAGAAATTCCAAACTCTTCTCTATTCGACTTGACGTTCCACATATTGATCATAACCTCTAGCACTTAGTAGGTGGGGTCATTATAGGGGAACCCAAGATGAGCACCCCTTAGGACTGCTGGACCTTAGGGTTGACCCTGGGTGTTGGTCTAGGGCTAAGGCACTCACTTGCAATCACTTACACTCACAATCACTCACTACCCTAAACCCATAATTTCTAGGCTCTGGTCCCTTGATACTTTTGGGCGACTCCTGTAGGTGGTCCCCTAAACCCATTAGCCCTAGGCTAGGGTTTGGCTAAATACCACTACATAGAGGACCGGAAATAGGGTTTCCATTGGTCCATGGCTTATTGATGGTGGTTGGCACTCTAACTTTACCAAGACACCCAACCTAGCCTTTTGCCCCTAAATTCCCTCAAATTACCTAGATGCCTTTGAAACCCCAAATTTGGCCCAAATTTTCAAATTTACCCAAAATACCCAACTTGGTTCAAAAATCATTTCAAACACCTTGAAAGCACCCAAACTACCCAATTACCAAAATACCCCTCCTTACCCCAAAATTCCAAAAATTCTAAAAAATCCCAAAAATTCTCAAAACCTCCCAAATATTTCCAATTTCATTTCTCTCAACTATCACATGACCCAATTTTTCCAATTTAACCATGTTTAATCAAAAACCCCAATTGCCCTTTAAAGGCCCATATTTTCTACAAATCACTCCAAATGTTTATCCAGTTGGTCTCAATTTACCCCAATTTCAATTCTAAACCCCAATTTCAATTCTAAATTCTTTCAATTTTAAACTCAAATTCACCCTTTATGTGACCAATCTAGACCAAATCCAAGCTTAATTGGTCCATGATTTGAACCTAATTTTATTTGAACCCAATTTTGAGTTAAACCAAAAACCCAATTTTGGCCTTATGACTTGGTTCCACCAAATTGAATCCATAGTCCACTCAATTGGCCATGATTTTTGTTGAAAAACCTTCATAACATCTCCATACATCAAACTTGACATTTAATTGGCCTTGGTGAGGCCTCAATTTCATTTGATCTCAACCTGAGTCCAAAAAGCCCCAAATTGACTATGTCTCAAAATCTCACCAAATTGAGGGCCTTAACCCCAAAATTTCCACTCTATCCCTTCATAAAAAAATCTTCAAAACATCTCTCTTGATCATGTGGACCATTAAATTTGGACTTAGCCCAAGGCTAGCCCAACCTAGACCCGT